TTTATTATATTTAATTTGTATTTTTCCAATAAAATAGTATTTGACTATTAATTCATCATCACCATCCATCCATCAATCTCATCCATTTGTTTATCTATCTATCTATCTATCTATCTATCTATCTATCTATCTATCTATCTATCTATCTATCTATCTATCTATCTATCTATCTATCTATCTATCTATCTATCTATCTATCTATCTATCTATCTATCTATCTATCTGTAGATCTATCTGTAGATCTATCTGTAGATCTATCTATCTATCTATCTGTCCGTCCGTCCGTCCGTCCGTCCGTCCCATTAATCTCATCCATTTGTCATCTATCTGTCTAAAATCCAACCCATCAATCCCTCCGTTTGTCATCTATCTATCTATATATCTGTCTGAAATCCATCCATCCATCCTTTTTTGTATTCTTTTTTAGCCTTTCTGTTTTGCCTTTTTTCTTTTTTTACTGTTTCTCATCCATTTATCCATCCATCTGTCTGAAATCCATCCACCCTTTTAAAATCTATCCATCCGTCTGAAATCCATTCATCCGTCTAAAATCCATCCATCCACCCACCCATCCATCCACTCACCCATCCATGCATCTATCCATCCATCCTTCTGAAATCCATTCATCAGTCTGAAATCCATCCATCCGTCTGAAATCCATCCATCCATCCATCCATCCATCCGTCTGAAATCCATTCATACATTCCCCCATCCATTCATCTGTCTGTAACCCATCCACCCACCCAAACGTCTGAAATCCATCCATCCATCCATCCATCCATCCTATTTTTTAGCCTTTCTATTATTTCTCTTTTCTTTTTCTCTTTTCTTTTTCTCTTTTCTTTTTTTTCTTTTATCTTTTTTTGTCTTTTTTTCTTTTTATCTTACGTTTTTCTTTTTATCGTTTTTCTTTGTTTTTCTTTTTCTTTATCTTTTGTTTTTTCTTTTAATCTTAATTTTTATCTTTCTTAGTCTTATTTTTTATTTTATTTTCTTAGTCTTTTCTTTTATCTTTATTTTTTCTTCCTTTTTAATTTTTCTTTTTTGTTTTAATTTTTCTTTTAATCTTTCTTTTAATCTTACTTTTAATCTTTCTTTGTGTTTTGCATTTACAGAATAGTGTTTTAATCATGTTTTTTTATTAGTTTAATTGTAACATTTGTCGTCATCATGCTCTTCCAATAGTATATTATATTTTTGTCACTTTTTTATAAAACAATTTAGTTTAACCCATAAATTAAGGATTGCATTTTGTCATTTTACATTTTGTCTTTTTTTGTACTGGCCAAATGTCTTGATGCTAGTTAAAATTTGAAGACATGAGTTAGTAGTTGGTTTGTGGTAGTGTGCGGTTAATAAGACTGTTGAGTGTGTCTCATACAGAGGTAGATGTTTTAATGATTGAGCAGATGGAAAAGCTCATCTCACACACACACACTGCTGGAGGAGCTGCTGATGGCAGAGCTGTGCAGATGCTGCATCTCCACTTTCAGACTTCACTACATTAAAACATGCTAGATGAAAATGAAATGGAGATGTTTTCTTTTCACCAAAATAAATAAATCTAAATGCTGCAGCTGCACACTGGTATATTGATTTATTTTTGATGGTATTTTGATAACTAAGACCACTTGATAGTTTTCAGTCTGATTACATTTCTTTCAGATTTCACATAAGTGTTTAGTCCTTTAGAGTATTGTTTTCATCAGAAAATGACTATTGGTCAAAAGAAAATTTTTCATTTTTTGTGGTTTGAAATTCAGGGTAATTACACCGTATATGGATTTCTTAATGCTTCTGAGGTTAAAACCTTCATATTGTCTAAAATGAACAATGAAAGAAATTGTTAGAGAAATCCATTGCTGTTATCTCTTGAATCAAATCAGTTTTTAACATCAGATGGAACTCTAGACTAGTTTTTAACAGCAGATGGTGCTCTAGACTAGTTTTTAACAGCAGATGGCACTATGGGCTAGTTTTTAACAGCAGGTGGTGCTCTAGGCTAGTTTTTAACAGCAGATGGCACTCTGGGCTAGTTTTTAACTCTAGGTGGTGCTCTAGGCTAGTTTTTAACAGACGCACTCTAGGCTAGTTTTTAGCAGCAGATGGCTCTCAAGACTATTTTTTAGCAGCAGATGGTGCTCTAAACTAGTTTTGAACAGCAGATGTCGCTCTAGGCTTGTTTTTAACAGCAGTTTGTGCTCTAGACTAGTTTTTAACAGCAGATGGCACTATGAGCTAGTTTTTAACAGCAGATGCTGCTCTAGGCTAGTTTTTAATAGCAGATGACACTCTAGGCTAGTTTTTAGCAGCAGATGATGTTCTAGGCTAGTTTTTAGCAGCAGATGGCGCTCTAGGCTAGTTTTTAAACACACACTCTAGGCTAGTTTTTAACAGCAGATGGCGCTCTAGGCTAGTTTTTAAACACACACTCTAGGCTAGTTTTTAGCAGCAGATGGCGCTCTAGGCTAGTTTTTAAACACACACTCTTGGCTAGTTTTTAGCAGCAGATGGCGCTCTAGGCTAGTTTTTAAACACACACTCTTGGCTAGTTTTTAACAGCAGATGGCGCGCTAGGCTAGTTTTTTTTTTTACAGATGTGCTTTAGGCAAGTTTTTTTAACAGACGTACTCTAGACGTCTATACTTCTACTCTAGAAGTATTTAACTCCAGATGGCTCTCTAGGCTAGTTTTTACTTCAGATGGCTTTCTAGGCTAGTTTTTACCAGACACACTCCATGCAAGTTTTTAACAGCAGATGGCGCTGTAGGCTAGTTTTTTTTACAGATGCATTCTAGGCAAGTTTTAACAGACGCACTCTAGGCAAGTGTTTACCTTCAGATAGCTCTCAAGGCTAGTTTTTAACTCCAGATGGCTCTCTAGGCTAGTTTTTAACAGCTGACTGCACTCTAGGCTAGTTTTTAATCTAGATGGCGCTCTAGGCTAGTCTTTGTCAACAGATAATGCTCTGTGCTAGATTTTAACAGCAGTTGGCGTTCTAGTCTAGTTTTTAACTTTAGATGGTGCTCTTGGCTATTTTTAACAGCAGGTGGTGTAAGTTGGAAAGAAACAGTCTAGAGCAGCATCTGCTGTTAAAAACTGAGCTCAGAATCTATTTGAGATATTGATGGATATTTAAAAATCTCTGAATCGATGCAGAATCAATATCTCAAACAGTTTTTTTTTTTTTTTGCCACAGCATAGCTATAGCAATAAATCATAAATACAGAGAAACTGACAGTGGTCTCTTAATTTGCTACATAACTATATGATATATTAAACTTGATGACAAAACAGTTTCTTCTTGTTAAACCAAAATGATTCTCCTTGGCTAAGGGTTTGATTTGTCAACTAATATGATAAAAACAAAAAGCTTTTTTTTCTTTTACACTTCGCTAATAGCCTTTTGAGTTGTTCATTTTCCCGGAGTGTAGCTCAGAATGATTATAAATCATGTCTGTCCACTCAGATTAATTATATGAATGTTCAGAGCCACACTGGATGAGTGTTTTGCGTGCTCAGCGCTTTCAGGAGCCGAGCCGCTATACGAGCCTTTGACAGAAAGTGCTCATTACTTTATGCAGGAATTATCTGAACTCTTCCCAGACCTTTTCTGTACACATCGGTGATCTTGTGAGAACATCAGGCTTTCATACAGTGGAAAAAACAACAAGCGCAGAGCCGCGGTCAGGCTACGTCAACAGCAGCCAGGGTTTGACAGCAGATGTTTTGGCACGGCTTGCGTTAGTCTAAAATCTCCAGGAGAGAAGGAAATGCAGAATCCTTGCATAGTTAGTGTTTCTTTCCCTACTGATAAACTTCAGACGAACAGTCAATGTGAATGAACAGTCAATTTCATTACGCTCCGTTTACTGCATTGATGTTGTAATGTAATTATAATCAGTTAAATAGCTTTCAACATTCATTTAGTTATTCAAGTGTAAAAGATGAAAAGCTGTTTACATGCACGCACCCGTCAGGATCAGCAGGCGAGTGCAGTAACACCACTGAATAAACTGGAGTAAAATAAATGTTCATATTTTAAAGACATGGCGTGGAAAAATTTAATATAATGCAGTGCTTCTTGTACAGTCTGAGACCCACTTTATATCATATATCAGTAAGGCAATGGAGATCACTGATTTTTAAAGAAAACAGACCTTAAACGCACCGATTTCCGGAAAATTAAAAGTCCTTCTGCATACTTCTGCGTATACTCTATTATTTTATAATGCACATTTAAAATCTGTGTAAACCGGAAGTTGTTGAGACTTATTTTTTAGTGTGTTGATGAACTTGAAAGTGAATATTGAGTAGGGGGCGGGGCTTTCTGTTTGCACATCATTCCCTCATAGCGAACTAATGGTAAGAGGGGCGTGGCTAAGAATATTGTGTCTGAAGCGTCAAACTGCCTTCGTCAGAGTTCAGCACTCCAAAAACAAATCAAATAGTCCAATTTCAATTGAAGATTACCAAAACAAATTTCTTTTAGTGAATTTACTTTAAAGAGTAAACGTGGTTTGAAAATTAAACACTGTAAACTTGGATTTCACTCAGACTTTAGGCAAGATTTGACTGCATTACAGCTCCCTACCACTATGGAGTCATATCACTACACAGACAGAAATTACATCAAAACAAGAGGCTTTCAATTAATGTTTAATCTATAAACACAGGAGCAGTTTAAGGACAAAAACCTAACAAGTGTATTGAATTAAAACCTCTTAACAGTGTCTTTAGGTGTGGTAGTCATAATGGAATAATTGACTCCAGTCTATTGAGTTATTGGGAAATATTACACAGGCATCATCACCACCGCGGGTGTACATTATTTTTCTACTAATTCAATGGACCTGAGTCAATTATTTCTTGCAAATTGTTATGCAGCAACATTGGAGATATGTAGTAGAAGCTAGATAGTCATGTTATCACTTTCAAGATTTTATTTATTATGCTGCATACTCTGCATTGTCATTCAAACTGTTTTCTTCTCTCTATAGGTGCGGGTGAATCAGGGAAGAGCACCATTGTCAAACAGATGAAGTAAGTACAATGAATTTTTTTAATGTTTTTTTTTCTATAGTTATTTCTGCTATATTATTATAAATATACTGATTTTTTTCAGAAGATGGACAGCACTTTAGTTTGAGTACCTATTCTTACTATAATCAAAGTTCCTTTAAGGAAAGTCATTTCACTCTGCGGCCATCTTTGAAACGCCTCTCGGGCAGTATGCTCGGGCATTCTGTTTAAATGGGGAAACATCAAATTCTCCAAAACTACTTGCCAAGCTTACAAATACATTTCATATTACGAATAACTAATAAAATTATACAACAACTGTCTCTTTAGTTTCATTTCTAAATGTTCGAATCGCACATCTGCAGAAACTCATGTCAGGTCCAAGCGCCTCCCTCGGAGAGTTGTCATTCTATAGCGATCGCTGACTGGCTCCTGTACTAGAAGGCGGGGCTTCAATCATCATCATGACAGTTACACTTTTGCCCAATCAAAAAGATACGAGTGACACATCTTGTGTATTCTGTAGTCTTTGCTTTGCCTTATTTCCTCCCTATTATTAAGTGTTTGTTTATTAGTGCTTACAGTAATCAAGGAACTTTGTTGCCATGGCTTCAGCAGGGGCAATGATATCATACAGTGCCTGAAAATAGTCTCCAGCTGGAAAACTTCCAAGATGACCACCTGCTTGCCCAGTGAGCATGTGCCAGTCATCGTTATCATATCATTACGCCTGCTGTAGCCATGGTGCCGCAGCAAAGTTCCTTGATTATTACGCTGAAATGAGAACTCCTACCCATATCAACCCAAAAATAAGCAAGTTTTAATTTTCCATTGCACTTTTTCCATTGGTAGCTACAAAATGTAGCTACAGAATAGTCAAGCTTTAACCCTTGTATTGTGTTCGGGTCTGTGGGACCTGTTTTTATCAAAATATTCAATCTCAGACTCATTGGATTTGGCTCATTTTCTATGAAAAACTCACAGAATCAGAACAAATTTTAATGACCACACTCTGTACACCCCCTCTACACATTTACATTACATAGAGGATGTTCAGGTCCACTAGACCAAAGAGCATAGAATCAGCAAGAGGCAACACTGTAGTACGATTTGAGAAACAGCCACTAGATGCCGCGGCGGCCATTTTGGAATGAAAACTCCAATAGAACAGCAGCATATAATAAGTCTGTAAAATAAACTCTTAAAAGTGCTGATGATTGTGATAATAAGAGCTGCATTGTTGTCTTTCAGGTTGTATCTCAGCTTTAATGCGCTTTTTATATAAATAAATAAAAAACAAAGCAGCTGCTTGCCATCGCGACAACAATAAGATCCAATGGACAGCCGACCGCTTCAACTACAAAATGGCGAATCCAGGGCTGTTGCTGAGCGCTGCTGTTGCAATGTAACTTTCCATTGAGTGTCGCCTCTTGGTCATTCTAAGCTCTTTGACTAGACCAAAGACTATAGAATACACAAGACATGTCACTCGTATTCTTTTGAATGGGGAAAAGTGTAACCGTCAATATGGCGAATGAAGCCCCACCCTTTAGTACAGGAGCCAATCGGCGATCGATTTATAGCGAATGTGTGGCCTTCTAGTACAAGAACCAATCAGTGATTGTTACAGACTGATATTTCTCCAGGGGAGGAGCTTGGGCCAGATGTGAATTTCTGCAGATTATGTGTGACTCAACCATTTAGAAATGAAACTAAAGAGACAGTTGGGGCTTAATGTAATTGTTGTTTCATAATATGAAATTTAATTTGTTAGCTTGGCAAGTAGCTTGGCAAGCCACAGCCATGTCACCCTGCAGCCCAAGACCGGTTACTCACTGAAGCTAAGCAGGGCTGAGCCTGGTCAGTACCTGGATGGGAGACCACTAGGGAACACTAGGTTGCTGTTGGAAGTGGTGTTAGTGAGGCCAGCAGGGGGCGCTCAACCTGTGGTCTGTGTGAGTCCTAATGCCCCAGTAAAAGTGAAGGGGACACTATACTGTCAGTGGGTGCCGTCTTTCGGATGAGACGTTAAACCGAGGTCCTGACTCTCTGTGGTCATTAAAAATCCCATGGCACTTCTCGTGAAAGAGCAGGGGTGTAACCCCTGTGTCCTGGCCAAAGTCCCTCTATCGGCCCTTAAGATCATGGCCTCCCAATCATCCCCTTCCACCGAATTGGCTCTATCACTGTCTCTCCACTCCACCAATAGCTGGTGTGTGGTGAGCGCACTGGTGCTGTTGTCCTGTGGCAGCCGTCGCATCATCCAAGTGGATGCTGCACACTGGTGGTGGTGTGGAGAGACCCCCCCTCATGATTGTGAAGCGCTTTGGGTGTATGGCCATACACAATAAATGCGCTATATAAATACACATTACATTACATTTACATTACATTACAAGTAATTTTTGAGAATTTGATGTTTCCCCGTTTAAACAAAATACCTGAGCATACTGCCCGAGAGGAGTTTCAAAGATGGTCGCCGCATGAAATGACTTGCCTTAAAGGGACTTTGACTAGACCCGGGGTTAAAGTGTGGGGAACCTTAACTCTGTCCTCCATAGGTGTGGACCCAAGATGGAAGTATACACAAGGCTATACATAGTAAAACTCTGCCTCTTGTGTGTTGTACAGGCTGGCATGAAAAGGCAATGTTCAATGGGGCTAATAGGGCAAACAAACAAAAAAAGTACCATTGTGATTCATAAATGTGACCTATCAAAGGAAAATAGATAAAAATAGCTATAAATGTTGCTTGCAATTGGAATGCATGTAAAATTACTCAACAGATTTTTACCTTTAATCTTTGATTTAGTTGTATTAAAAACCCCAAAATAAAGCAGGTCCACCAGACCCATGAACACTGGCTGTTGAGATACATAATTATGAACATCACACAAGGTTTAAATTGGAAAAATGTTTTATTTTTCAGGTTGTCCGTGGCATGTTAAAAAGTTGATAAATAAATATGGAGAAATTTAAGGCCCTTAAAAAGTATTAAAAAGTCTTAAATGCTATTTTGTAATGTTTTCAATTTTATATCATATTTGATTATGCAATGTGTGCTTGTATGCTAAAGTTTGCCTGAATTAAATCTGCGAGTGTCAGGATGCTGTGCAGTTTAGGAAACCAATGAAATCCTACTAGATTTGACATCATGCTGCTTTGTTTACTGCAGTAGTCAAGGCAACATCATTATATAGTTCTATATGCGCAAACCTCCTGAATTAGCTAGATTTAATAGATCTTTATTTAGTGTATGAATAATGTTTTAGTTTTGTATTAGTTTCTTACATTATTATTTACTAAATATACTGTAAGTTCTCACCAGTGTTTCCAGTTGAAAAGTGGTTATAAGGTCTTAAAATGTATGGAAAGAGACTTAAAAAAGGTCTTAAAAGGTATTGAATTTCACTTTCTGATTTCTCTATATACTCTTGTTTTTGAGGGAAATTCTAATGGTTCAATCTGATTCATGACTTGTGCTAAGCTAAGCTAAAAGTGCCCCCACCATTGATATATACACTAGATATCGCATAGGGAGCCTGACCATGGCTCAATGGTGCCGCCATATTTGTGCAGTGCTTCCAGGACAAGTGTCATTCAACCACACTAGTCAAGACAGTGTTATTACGTGAAGATGCGGGACCTTAGCGCTTTCTATGGGTGTAGTAACAAGCAAACAAAGAAAACAAAGCACAAAGGCAGAACATTTCTTGAGTAAGGTTTAGTTTTTTACGTTTTTGTATGTTATGAACATTTGTGCTAAACGGGTAACGTGATGATAATGCAGTCACTGCATTCAGGCAAAGCAGCAGCAACTCACACTAGACCCTCGGCTTATGCTAGTTTTGTTGAATAAGATTAGCAAACAATGCAAATGAAATATGACAACGAGATGCTGCGCTGCCAGAAACTTGTATTATGGTCGGCTAAGTGAAGGAGTCGTTCATAACGGAGATTCATTCACAAACGAATCGCTCCCTCCGTCAGTATGAGGAGTGAAAGCAGGAGAGGAGGTGTGTTTCAGGACACGGATTAAACCAAATCTAACAGGGAGGGTGGATAGTACATTTCCATACACACAAACACAAGCTTTTTGTCAGGAATGCCTGTGCGATTACTCATCCATGAATGTAGAAAAGTGATGTGAAATTATAAGTTTTGTAAATAAAAAAAACATTTGCATACTGACTTCCGGGAAATCTCCTGATCATAGATATATGTGTATATGTGTAATTCTCTGGCTTTGTATGGCCACAGTCCTCCACTGCAGCTTGGTCCCGCATTCATTTCAAAGGAGCGCTACCCTGTACTAAAATGGTGGCTCCGTTGACAAATTCCTTCTAATTGACAACAACAGGGTAGGCAACATCTAATGTATTTATCTATGTGCCCCCACTAGACCCAGAGATCATCTTAATGGATTCAAAATTGCTAAAACTCTACTGTTAAACTCTAGGGTAGTTGTAAAGTTAGCCTATTTTCAAAAAAACGAAGTGTAGTGTTCATTTAAGTCTGATAAATGACGTGCATCCGCAGTAAATGAGCTCATTGCAGCCGCTGAGACACGAGCATGAAGACTATATTCGGTGATGAAGGCATGCTTCATCCGTCATCTATTTATTTGCTGCGGCAGAGCTTTAAAGCAATGTCATCATGTGTGAGATGCACTAAAACAGGAGTAAACCGAGAGCGGCTCTGGAAGCTCTTATGAGTTTCATTTCCGTGATGAAGACACATTTCCGCTCGACTGCACCTTTTACAGAGCCTGTGATGTAGAGCCGCTTCCTTAACATGCACTCGTCTCTTCCTGTTCGTGATGAATAGACACCAACATGTCTTTGTATGGCACTTTCTAGATGCTAAACCTCATGCTGTGAAACGTCATGCTAGATTAAATGAATGTGGATGAATGATGTGTGCTTTAAAAAAAAACCACACTTGCACATTTTTAACTCTTTATAGGGCACTCAAAAAGTGTTGCGGGTATTATTACAAGACTTTAATGTTTCAGACTTTAAAAGTACTAGAAGCATATATTCATATTGTAATCAATGTCAGTGAAGTTACCATAAATGTTTTTTTCACTTAATAAATGGTTAACAGTAATGAACTAATCCTAATCTAGCATGTACTAATATTGTATACACTAGAATTTATACTGTTTACAATGTCCCAATATTCGTCTAATTGGACTATGATCCGTGTTACATTAACAAATCAGATAAATTAAAGTATGTTATTTCAGAGAGCGTTGTAATTGATCATAAGATGTTATGAATTTATTTACCATATGATTTCATTTTATTTTATGCACACTATTTTACTTTTTTATTATTTTAATTTGTTTTGTATTATTTAATAAAAACTATTTTAATTTAATTAAATGTGTTATTTTATTATTAAATGTAATACATTTTATTATTTTAATTTAATTTTATTAGTTTTTTATTATTTTATTTTTTATTTTTTAATGTAATAAATTTTATAAATTTTATTTAATTTAATTTAAATGTAGTTTTAATTTAATAATTTTTTCTACTTTAATAAAATTTTGACTCATTTAAATAAATTAATATTTTTTATTATTTTATTATTTTTTATTATTTTAATAAAATTTATTTTTTATTTATTATTTATTTTATTAATTTTATTATTTTAATTTAATAAAAAATTTAAATGTAATGTAATTTTAATTTAATGTTATTTATTAATTGTTTTATTTATTTAATTAAATCAAATTTTAAATGTAATTTAATTTTAATTTAATGTTAATTAATTTTTAATTTATTTAATTAAATCAAATTTTAAATGTAATGTAATTTTAATTTAATGTTATTTAATTTTTAATTTATTTAATTGAATCAAATTTTAAATGTAATGTAATTTTAATTTATTGTTATTTAATAAATTTTTATTAATTTAATTAAATCAAATTTTAAATGTAATGTAATTTTAATTTAAATTTAAATTTAATTTAAATTTAAATTTAATTTAATTTAAAATAATTTTTTTATATAATTTTTTTATTTCATTTAATCTATAATGTTTTTTTATTTACTTTATTTTATGTTTATTTTATTTTATTTTTGCCTAAAGTTTAGTTTTTATGGTCCTAAAAGTGGATATGACAATATTTACATAAAACACTTACATACAACCAAACATTCATTAATCGTATTTATACCGTTTAGTATATGAGATTATTAGATCTCTATGTTCTTAAAGATCTAAAATGTCACGCTATACATGTCTTTACCATCAATTATATATATATATATATGAATTGCATATGATTGGTTTGATCTTATTATTTTTCATATGCTGTAAGATTTACAAATATAAACTGAAAAAGCTATTTGTTTACTTCTCTAAATAAAAGTAAATATTATATTATTTAAATGTATATTAATTCGTAACATTATTGAATAATATGCAAATATTCAATTTAAATAGACGATTTATGCACAATGCAGTTTGATTTAAAAGTAATGTAACATGTAGAGAATTTAGAGGTCTCTCTTTTATTAGACGATCAAAAGTGGTTTGTGTTGAAGCGTCTCTAAAACTTTCTGCAATCTCTAAAATGTTTCGGAGGAAAGCTGCATAAATCTCTTTTTATTTCTGTATTTATTAGCCATATACCTAAAGAGAGATGGTGAAGGCCTTGAACACTTGTATGATTTCCATTTGACTGGAGGTGCAGGGATCTGAATGCATTTTTCATGAGGACGGCGCAGTATTTCACACTCGGCTCATTAATGCAGGTTTAAGCAGAAGCAGAGTAACAGTGATAATAATAACTGTTACCTGCAGCAGACCAGCGTTAAAACACTGTGAACTAACAGTGATGGGGTCATGTCTCCCACAGATCTTCATTCAATTATTAGCACAAAGATTCAGCTTTATTTGATCAAACCTTTTTAAAGACATTATCTTGAAAATTGCTGAATATTTTTCATGTGCTTTTACATACTGGCTTTGTTATACTGATTACTGATGACAGCAAGCTCTGCTGATGTTAGTGAATCTGAAATTCTTTAAATTATTTATTTATTTTCCTTCGGCTTAGTCCCTTTATTCATCAGGGGTCACCACAGCGGAATGAACCGCCAACTTATCCTGCGCAGTCGCAACCCAGTACTGGGAAATATCACACTCATACACTACGGCCAATTTAGTTTATTCAATTCACCTGTACAACATGTCTTTTGACTGTGGGAAGCTGGAGCACCCAGAGAAAACCCACGCCAACACAGGGAGAACATGCAAACTCCACACAGAAATGCCAACTGACCCAGCCGGGACTCAAACCAGCGACCTTCTTGCTGTGAGGTGACAGTGCTAACCACTGAGCCACTGTGTGGCCCTTATTAAATGATGCGTTGTTCAAAGTGTAGGTTTTGAATTACAGAGCTACTAATACACACCTTTGATGATGACTGATAATTAGTTTTATGAAAGAAGTTTAACAGTGTATGATGGCACTTATGTTTTTTTTTTATTTGCATCAAGGTAACATTAAATCTATAGATTATAATGTTATTTGCCAATAAGTTTGAATATTTATATCAGAAATATTGAGCTCTGCTTCCAATATTACCGGCAATAATCTGCTCCTCAACACCAACAAGACCAAGGAGCTCATAGTGAACCAACAGGAAGGGACGAACAGGGTCACATGATCCCATCCACATCAATAGCCACGTTTCCACTATCGCGCCTAAAGCGTTTCCACTGTCACTTCCGGGGCCTTATCGGGCCAAAGCGGGGCTTTCTTGGGGCCAGCGGTTGGCCTTTTTTGGCCTGCCGAATACCTTGGGCCAAAGAGGGCCAGCTGGGGCTTCGGGGCGGAGTCAAAGGAGAGGCGGGCACAATTTTCCGATCGCACATGAGTACATGCACCAAACAAATAAATAAAAAAGTAAGGGAAAGAAAATATCTAGCCTTATGAGGTCTTTTTGCGTATGATCGACCTTATGTTTCCCTTTTAAATGTAACGGTGTTACATAAAACAATAAAGTAGTTTTAATTTATAAGTGACTTTCTTTGCTGCGTCCTCCTTGATGTTTCAGTAAAGCATAACAATCTTTACACCATATTAAAGACACAGCAGACTGTAAAGGTTTTCGAGAGTTTTTGTCAAGTTTAAAAGGTGTATTTGTGCATGTTTACTGTAGATGCCTTTATATGTGTGAGACCGATTTTTTACCGACTTTGTATTTTCATTATATATCAGTTTAGTTTTGGTGTCTGTGGGGTCTTGAAAAAAAATGATTAAAAAGTGTTAAAAGTCCTGTGAAGTCCCTTTAAATGTGAACTTTTTATGTGAATTCATTATATATTAGTTCAGTTTCTGATCAATAGAATAACAATATAGCACTACACCATTGTGTGCATGTTTCCAGGTCAGTCTCTTAATTATTAAATATCATCCTGTGTCCAGAATGATTCATGAGTCGAATACTCAGAAGATGAAGCAGTACCGAGCCGTGGTTTATTATCTTATCATTAAATTAAATACATTTTATTATTTTAATTGAATTTTAATTAAATTTTATTATTTTTTATTATTTTATTTTATTTTTATTCATTTAATTAATTTATTTTTTATTGTTTTATTTAACAAATTGTATTAATTTAATTTAATTTACATTTAATTTTTATTTAATTAAATTTTTATAATTAAATTTAATTTTTAATTTTAATTTAATTTAATTTTTATTATTTATTTTTTATTTTATAAATTGTATTTTAATTTAATTTAAAATTTAAATGTAATGTAATTTTAATTTAATTTGATATTTTTATCAGTAATTTTTTATTAAATATAAATTATTTTAATTGAATTAATTTTTACTATTTCTATTTAATTTAATGAATAATGCTTTTTTGAATTGATTTTATGTTTTATTTTATTTTATTTTTGCCTAATAATTTTTGATTAATAAAATAACAATATAGCACTACACCATTGTGTGCATGTTTCCAGGTCAGTCTCTTAATTATTAAATATCATCCTGTGTCCAGAATCATTCATGAAGACGGATACTCAGAAGACGAATGCAAGCAGTACCGAGCCGTGGTTTACAGCAACACCATCCAGTCCATAATGGCCATCATTAAAGCCATGAGCAACCTGAAGATCGACTACGGGGAAAGTGCACGTGTGGTAAGAGCTCCTGTGCACCTGCAGACTGCATGTAGGTCAGCCTGGCGTTCTGTAAATAATTCAGAGTCCTGCACATTTCTCATCTCCAGGTTATAATAATCCAGGTTGTAATATTTTGCATGTAGATCCTTCAGTTGCGGATTGCAGGTTGTTATTCTGAGCATTAATGAATCATTTATATTAACAGCAGGAGCAAATAAATATAAGTAGATTTTAGGTTATATAAACTTTAGGTTTTGCTATTTAAATATTTAGTGTAATTTATTGATTTGGGATGATTAAAGGTCCTGTGAAGTGTGGAATAGTAATTAATTTTTTCTCAGCTCTGCCAGTGAGAGTGATCATATGAGCTCAAGCACATCAAATGAAAGCAAATGAAAAGAGGGGGCGGGGCATGTCAGATACCAGAGAGCATTTGATTGGTCAAGATTTGATGAGAAACTGTAGTGACATGAAAAAATATGGTTGATCCATTTAAGCAGATCTGATAACCTTCAAGCTTTTGATGTTAATGTCAGTTTTATGTTTCCTAAATGCAAATGTTGTCGATGTTTTTGAGCACTCTGTCTTATAGATATACTTAAAACTAACATACTGAAACTAACATCTAAATTTTTTACTTAAAATTTACGTGCGACCTTTAAAATTCAGTAGATTCAAATTATTTATCCAATAAAACACAAAGTGTGTTAATTAATTTATATCATTTTAATACATATATATGTGTGTGTGTGTGTGTGTGTGTGTGTGTGTATGTATGTGTATATATAGTATAATATATATATATATATATATATATATATATATATATATATATATATATATATATATATATATATATATATATATATATGTAGATTGATAGATAGATGGATGGATGATGGATGGATGGATGGATAGTAAAAAAAAAAGAAATGATTATGTATTGTATATTATAAAAATGAATACTTTTTTTACATTGCTAATTAATAAACATGCTAAATTAGCAGCCTTTATTTTAAACAATGTTATAATTTTTTGACTGCTTTATTAAAATGTTTGCAGCTCTTTGCATGTGTGGTAATTCTGTTTGCGTTTGTGTGCAGGATGATGCGCGGCAACTGTTTGCGCTGTCTGCGGCTGCGGAGGAGCAGGGGATCCTGACTGACGATCTGGCCAATGTGATCCGCAGACTGTGGGCCGATAGCGGCGTTCAGGGCTGCTTCTCCAGATCCAGAGAATATCAGCTCAATGACTCCGCTGCTTAGTGAGTGACTGCAGAAAACACACCAAAGAATCGCTCCCTCTGATAAAATGAGAAGTGAAAGCAGGAGAGGGGGGGTGTGTTTCAGGACAAGGATCAGATCAAATTTAACAGGGAGGGAGGATAATACAATTGCACACAAACACAAGCTTTTTGTCAGCAATGCCTGTGCAGTCACTTATCCATTGATAGAGAAAAGTGATGTAAAATTATAATTTTCATAATTAAAAAAAAAAAAAATTGCATACTGACCACCCGGATGGCTCTTGATCATAGATATATGTATATACAGTTGAAGTCAGAATTATAAGCCCCCCTGAATTATTAGACCCCTTGTTTATTTTTTCCCTATTTTCTGTTTAACGGAGAGATTTCTTCAGCACATTTCTGATCATAATAGTTTTAATAACTCATTTCTAATAACTGATTTATTTTATCTTTGCCATAATGACAGTACATAATATTTGACTAGATATTTATCAAGACACTTCTATACAGCTTAAAGTGACATTTAAAGGCTTAACTAGGTTAATTAGGTTAACTAGGCAGGTTAGGGTAATTAGGCAAGTTACTGTATAACGATGGTTTGTTCTGTAGGCTATCAAAAAAAATATGGCTTAAAGGGGCTAATAATATTGTCCTTCAAATGGTGTTTAAAAAAATTAAAAACTGCTTTTATTCTAGCCGAAATAAAACAAATAAGACTTTCTCCAGAACAAAAAATATTATCAGACCTACTGTGAAAATCACCTTGCCCTGTTAAACATCATTTGGAAATATTAAAAACCTTTATAAAAATTCAAATGGGGACTAATAATTCTGACTTCAACTGTCGGTGTATATATCTTTGGCTCTGGAGAGCCAGTCCTCCTCTGCACCTTGGTCCCACATTCATTTCAAAGGACCGCTACCCTATACTGGCGGCTCTAGTGACGCATTCCTTCCAATAGACAAAAATAGTGTAGGCGACATCTAATGTAAATATCTATGGGCGAAGACGCGCAGCGATTCTCCTGACCGCCTCTCCTCACCACCAACTCCCAAAGAAATTTAATGACTTCCGGCTTCTTTGACACTCTCGCCACCTTATACTCCAGAAACATTTTTATCATTAACAGTGTTAAAAACAGTTGTGCTTTTTACGGTATTTTATTTATTTGGTACAATTTGGTACAATGCATTATTTTTAGGATTATTTTATTAACATTGTTACGTGTTTAAGTTGTTAAGATATTAAATAGATGAAACGTAACAATGAGTGAGTCTAATGGTGCTGGATGAACAAGGAGAATACACAACCTCTTGTTAAGTGAAACAAAAAGTTAGTATTTATGGTCACACTTTACAATAAGGTTCATTAGTTAATGTAAATTAATGCATTTACTAACATGAACAAACAACAAACACAATACACTTACTACTGTATATGTTCATGTTAGTTAACGTTAGTTAATGAAAATGCAGTTGTTCATTGTTAGTTCATGTTAACTCTTGGTGCATTAAGTAATGATAACATGCATGGACTTGGATGTTAATAATGCATTAGTAAATGTTCAATTATGATTAATAAATGCTGTACATGTGTTATTCAGGATTAGTTCATGTTAGTAAATGCATTAACTAATGAACCTTATTGTAAAGTGTTACCGTATCTATTAAACAGAGAATGTCAAACAATGAATATAGGAAATGTAATGTAAATGAAATTTTAAATAATCGAATTAAACAAAGAAAACAGGAGTGTTGCTAAAACAAAGAAATAAATATAACAAAACGATCTAGCTAAACCCCAACCCACTAAACTGACTGATCAAAGACAAATGCAGAAACAAAACCGTAATCTTCAGCACGTAGCTTAACTAAACTTCAGAACTTCAGAACATAATTACACATGTGGCAACGTCTCCTTTAACAAAGTAAAAAATAGATATACTAAGCTGCTCACATTACTAGAGTTAAGTACACACTGTTAGCCGTTAGCAAAACAAGATCTCATATAATCCAAATCTCAAAGATCTTTCTACTTCTCACTAGATAATAAACTGAGCTGCACAAACTTATCTAATAAGTCAATCTCTTAATAAAGAGAAAACTAGCACACGGCAACAGCAAACAAACTAAGCAAATAAACACAAGTGAACAGGTTTACCGACAGAAGTGAGGAGTCTGACTGTGAGCCAAGTGCTCCTGAAAAACAGTGTAAGCGCACGGCTTTTATACTGCGCGGACCCGCTCCTGATTGGCGTGCCGATTGAGTGACGATGGTTACTGACAGCCCCTTTGACCAATGATTGAACACCTAAAACAGGACAGGATAATAGCGGAAGAGAGAGAGAGAGAACGCAAAACAGAAAGCAAAAAACAAAGCACCACAAAACATACTTAAAACGTAACAACATAAACAGCCTTTACTTGAAATACAAACTTTTTCTATGATTATAAAACAACATCGCTGTCATTTATGCTAACTGTAAAACATCCTTGCTGCATTCATTTATTTCAATAAAATCCAAACCTTTTTGAATAGCAGCGCACATTGTCAAACATTATCAGTCATGCATTCGTTTTTCTTCAGCTTTGTGCCTTTATTTATCAGGGGTCACCACAGCAGAATGAACCATCAACTAATCCAGCATATCTTTTACACAGCGGATGCCCTTCCAGCTGCTACCCCATACTGTGAAACACCTGTACACTCTCACAGTCACACTCATACACTACGGTCAATTTTGTTTTACCCAATTCACCTATAGCGCATGTGTTTGGACTGTGGGAAAAGCCGCAGCACCCAGAGGACACCCTTGCCAACGCGGGGAGAACATGCAAACTCCACACAGAAATGCCAACTGACCAAGCTGGGACTCGAACCAGCAACCTTATTGCTGTGAGGTGACAGTGCTAACCACTGAGCCACCGTGCCGCCTCAAGCATTAGCCTTTACGTTTAATTTCTTGTACAAATGATATCACATAGCATTGCCATCTTAACATTTGCTTTTTTGTACTTTTACAAAGTGTTTTGGCTTAAGTAACTATTTGAAATGCTTTTGTGCATGTTTTGGGATAATCGTTAGTGCACGTAAACCCTCACTGATGTCATTTTGAATGGGATTTCTGAATACAGTGAGTCCCTCAGTGTGTGTGTTTGTGTATTAGTCACTTTGCAGCAGTGGAATTCTCCCTCTTGACGGCGTGTTCATAACCTGTGCAAAATCACAGCCTCAAGTGGATTGTTGTTTAATTATATTTCATCAATGTACTTCAGAGCTGCATAAACACTAACACTTGAGGTGTGGAAGTACAGCACCAAATTACAAATCTCTCCCTGTAGACACGATACGACTTTAATGGGGTTCTGATGAGTGATGTGAGCAGGTTCAAGCAGTGAACTCAATGCTAACTTCATCTGTTGTTGACGGCAGAAACAACTCCTCGATTCTTGACTTGACACACACACAAACAAACAAACACACAAATGTGTGGTGCAGGTTGTGCTACACTGCAAATATATTTGTAAATGAGCAGTTTTGCATAGTTTGTTACTCATGTTTTTATTGTATAGTAGTTTATGCTTTTGAATTGCATTATGAGACCTTTATCTTTCTTTCTATTGACATTTTGATTAGTTTAAAGTGATATATTGTCTTAGTGTGTGTTGTATATTATGCTTCAAAACCCTTGTAATAAACTGCCTGTACATTTTCTCTTATTTTACAGACTTATTTCTCTATATATTATTTCTTATATTATTTCAAACTATTAAAATGTCATTAAAAGTCCCATTGTTAAACTGTAGAGTTGAATTTTCAACATCACAAATTGACAAAGCAGAGATCAACATCCCATAATGCAATTCACAACCGTAAATAAATGGAAAACACTTGTGAAGCACAAAATATGGAAACTCTTAATTATTAAGAGATTTTTTTTTACAATATATTTAACATGTATATTATTGTGTATATTAGCATGAAACTGCTTCTCAAACAGGAACAGATGCAGGATGAGACTTGATTTTGTCCCTCAGGAGTTGGTTGGATTGCTGTGGTTTGCTATTGGTGGAACTCAAGTGATTGACAGGTTGATCCCGCCCTCATACCAGTAAACACCAATCAGAAAAACACTAATGTTATTGAAACGGGACAACAGAGTTCACATGAATTCAAAACAAGTGAATGTAAATTTTGACACAGATCAGAAAGTGGACTTCAGTGTATTTGTTAAGAATTGATATTAAAGTGATAAAGCAGATCCATTCTGTTCATAACACACATGATACACTGAAAGAAATGATTCAAAGACAGTTCCTTGGATTTAACAAAATCTTTGAAATTTTAAAGTTAAGTGGCTCTTAACAATTTATTTGGACAGAATTTAAACAAATTACACAGTAAAAAAATGCTGGGTTCCACACAATTTCTTCATGTTGTCCCAACACAAATTGATTAAGTTAACCTAATTGTTTTTACGAATTTATGTGGACTGATCCTAACCCCCCCCCACCACCAACAGTAAAAATATTTGTTGGAGTGTAATTTGATCATTACTAAATTTAATTTGTTTAAATTCAACCCATATACAGTATTTGAAACATTTTTGTACTAATCAATTATATTTATTTTTGATAGCAAATACATTTTAATGCAATTTTGGCATGTTTAAGAATTATTTATGGTAATTGCTTATTGAAAATAATAGTTGTGTTGAATATTAGGTAGCACTTTATTTTAAGGTGCTCTGAAAATAAATGCAGGGTTCCACACTATTAATTTATATTGTTCAGACACAAATCAATTAGGTTAACTATTAGCATTTAAGTGTATTGAACATAAAACAAATTATTGTCCCAAAAAAATTAAGAATTGTTGTTTCAGCTCATTTTAAATCAGTAGTTTGAACAAGAAGAAAAACAATTTTTGAGTTTGTTCTTGTTACAAGTTTTACTTACGTTTAATTATGTATAATTACTTGTGATAATTATAGTAACTAACCCTAAACCGCATTGTAACCCTAACAGTATAGTAAGTGCATCTAATTAGTTCAAGGGTCACGAAACCCCACGGTGTTTACATGTTTACACTCGGAGAGCAGATCTTTCTGCCCATAATATTGTAGTGATTATGTACTGTAAACTTTAGTAACTTAGGAATCATTTGACTAAGGTCTGTCTTTAAACACTGAAAGAGTACTGCTGACGATACAAACTAACTTTGCCTCTGAATAAACAAACAAAGACCCCTGATGGCTTACCAAATCTGTAGAAACAGGACAATCAACATCAACTGGAGCCGTGTCTTTATTATAAGGAGACGAGCGACAAATCCAGATTTTACCATTTCCAGATGTGAAAAGCTCTCGGGTAAAAAATGTTCCGTACAAACGAATTTGTACTTCATGCACTGTAATCCACACGTGAGTCCAGCTGCGCTCTCATAGCGGGAAATGAAAACAAAACCTTTATTGCAGCAAATTTTTAAACGCAACATGGGCAAACAGCCTTTACTTGAAATACAAACTGTTATAAAATGATTATAAAACAACATCGCTGTCATTTATGCTAACTGTAAAACATCCTTGCTGCATTCATTTATTCCAATAAAATCCAAACCTTTTTGAATAGCAGCGCACATTGTCAAGCATTATCAGTCATGCATTCGTTTTTCTTCAGCGTAGTGCCTTTATTTATCAGGGGTCGTCACAGTGGAATGAACCGACAACTATTCCAGCATATGTTTTACGCAGCAAATGCCTTTCTAGCTGCAACCCAGTACTGGGAAACACCCATACACTCACATTCACAAACACACACACACACACACACACGTTTGTTTTTGTGAAAAGTGGGGACATTACATAGGTTTCCATTAATTTTATACTGTCCAAACCATATATAGTATTGCCCTCACCCCACCCCACCCCTAAACCAAACCATCAAAGGAGACTGTGTGCAGCTTTACACTCTGATCAAACTCATTCTGTGGGATTTGCATTTTGAGAAACGAGGACGTCACCAATGTCCTCATTTCATCCTCCTTTTTGTAATTCCTGTGTCATACTCATGACATTATACAGATTTGTGTCCTGATACGTCACAAAAACACGTACACACATACACACACTCATACACTACAGCCAATTTATTTTACCCAATTCACCTATAGCACAGGTGTTTGGACTGTGGGGGAATCCAGAGCACCCAGAGGAAACCCATGCCAACAGGAGGAAAACATGCAAACTCCACATAGAAATGTCAACTTACCCAGCTGGGACTCAAACCAGCGGCCTTCATGCTGTGAGGTGGCAGCCACTGTGTCGCCCGACTACTTGCATTCAATCTTAAAAGCCAGGCTCAACAGTGCATATCCTGGGATGTGACTATTGAGATTGATCAGAGTGCAGCATTTATTCTGAAACAACATATTGTGCAGCACTATAACATGAATGATGAATGTCCTGTGTCTGTGTTTGTGCAGCTATCTGAATGATCTGGACAGAATAGCGCGCTCAGACTACATTCCCACCCAGCAGGACGTGTTGAGGACCCGAGTGAAAACCACAGGCATCGTGGAGACTCACTTCACCTTCAAAGACCTGCACTTCAAGTGAGCAGCAGCACTTTTACTGTCCGTCTCACACTTCAGTGGTCAACAGTGATGTCCAAATTCAGAGCTTCACCCTTTATTCAGACATATATACATGTTATGGGGATTTTTCTCAGCACGTTGTGCCGTTTTGGTTTGAGTGCAATATTTTTGTATGTGGTTGGTTTCAGTTTGAAGAAATGCAGGAGGAGAGTTGCTAATAATGATGAGCAGGTAGTACATGTACAAGATTTACAGAAGACTTAGTCAGGTTTGAAACTATTTGAAACTTGTGTTAAATAACGTTTTTAATTGAATGTATTAGGGCAGGGGTCGGGAACCTTTTTTCAGCAAAGAGCCATTTCTGTTTTTTTTTTTTTTTTTTTCAGCAAATGCTTTTTTTTTTAAAGAGGCATTTTGACGTATATACAGTGGAAGTCAGAATTAATTGCCCCCCTGTTTATTTTTTTCCTCAATTTCTGTTCAACTGAGAGACAAATTTTTTTCAACACATTTCTAAACATAATTGTTTTAATAACTCATTTCTAGTAACTGATTTATTCGATCTTTGCCATGATGACAGTGAATAATAATTTACTAGACATTTTTCTAGACACTTCTATACAGCTTACCGTGACATTTAAAGGCTTAACTAGGTTAATTAGGTTAACTAGGCAGGTTATGGTTATTAGTTAGTAGGCAAGTTATTGTATAATGATGGTTAGTTCTGTAGACTATCAAAAAATAATAATAATAATTTCGTCCTTAAAATGGTGTTTAAATAATTAATAACTGCTTTTATTCTAGCCGAAATAAAACAGCTAAGATTTTCTCAATAAGAAAAAAACTATTACCAGACATACTGTGAAAAATGTGTTGCTCTGTTAAACATAATTTGGGAAATAATTTTATTTATTTATCATTCATTCATTCATTTTCTTGTCAGCTTAGTCCCTTTATCAATCCGGGGTCGCCACAGCAGAATGAACCACCAACTTATCCTGCAAGTTTTTACGCAGCGGATGCCCTTCCAGCTGCAACCCATCTCCGGGAAACATCCACACACATTCACACACTACGGACAATTTAGCCTACCCAATTCACCTGTAGTGCATGTCTTTGGATTGTGGCGGAAACCGGAGCACCCGGAGGAAACCCACGCCAACGCAGCGAGAACATGCAAACTCCACACAAAAAACGCCAACTGAGCCGAGGTTCGAACCAGCGACCTTCTTGCTGTGAGGCGACAGCACTACCTACTTCCATTTATATTGTTTTATCTTTGAACCAAATTACCTGTTTATTTTGACATTTTCAAAATAGAGAAAGTGTTATAAAACATCAGCAAAAAATTATATAATCTTATTATAAACCTTTAATAATAGACTGATTTATTAATCTGCATATTCAGTATATTTTTATAAGTTTTCCTTTTTAAATAAAACATATTCATCAAACTCATGTATTTTCCAAAGGCTAACATCAATAGATGTTTGAGGATGTGTAGAGGTTATTACAGCGCTGTCAGTGACAAAGCTTCAGGTAGAGAGAAGGCTTTCTCATTATCCTCCATCCGCCTTCTCTTTTCTTCTTCAGACCCTCATGAAATATTAATGCTTATGTGAAGGGAAAAGCACTGGTTGATTTGCTCACCTTATGTGTGTGTGTGTGTGTGTGTGTGTGTGTGTGTGTGTGTGTGTGTGTGTGTGTGTGTGTGTGTGTGTGTGTGTGTGTGTGTGTGTGTGTGTGTGTGTGTGTTTCTCCCCAGGATGTTTGATGTCGGAGGTCAAAGGTCAGAGAGGAAGAAGTGGATTCACTGTTTTGAAGGAGTGACGGCCATCATCTTCTGTGTGGCTCTGAGCGCTTATGACCTGGTGCTGGCAGAAGACGAGGAGATGGTGAGGAGCTCAACACAACATGACTATTATTTTTTCACAATAAGAGCGTTCTGTTAACCCATTCACAGCTGCAAAAATAGCAAAACCTTTAATAATAAAACGATTTATTATCCTGCATGTTCAGTATTGTTTGTTGATTTTTTTTTGTTCTACACAACATTATTATTACTATCATCATTATCATCATCATCATCATTATTATTATCATCATTATTATTATTATTATTATTATTATTATTGTTATTTGACAAAGCGAGCCTCTATTTAACCCGTTCACTCCTGAAATATTGTCTAAGTTTCATAAGGCATTTTTGTCATATATATAATTTTTTAAACATTACTTGGGAAATATTTCAAGGAAGGGCTCATTTTTAAAAATTACTTTATATAGTTGTACATTAGAACCAAATTAACTGTGTTATTTTTATTTTCCTATTCTGAGTGTTATTAAGAATTAATAAAACAGCTGCGAAACATTTAATAATGTAATGATTTATGCATGTTCAGTATATTTAGATTTTTTTTTATTTCTACACAACATTATTATTATTGAATCTCAACACAACATTATTATTATTATTATTATTATTATTATTATTATTATTATTATTATTATTATTATTTCACAATAAGAGCCTCCTTTAACCCATTTGCACATAAAGCATGTTCCAAGTTTCAAAAAAATAAAATGTAAAAAATGTAGATTGTCACTGTTCATAACCTCTTAAGGCCCAAGGTGTTTTTTACATGCATTTTTATTTCTCTTTGCTATTTGGGCTCATTGGAACCTATACTTAGAATGAAAACCTAAGTATCATCTTTTGATATGATCTACTTTTAGAGAAAACTGATTTAATTATTTGTGGACTCGTGGTCCAAATTTACATAACATTTTTTCCTGAATGTTTTATAATGCATATATACGTATCATAGAAAAAGATGTTGAACTTGCTTTGACTATCAGAGAATAAAAACTATTTTTGTCTCATTTTGGACAGTTAAAATAGGGTGTGGGACATTTCATATGCTACAAAACAGTTGCAGGATGACACTGTATGTCTGTAACAAAATATAAAACATTCAAAGTATTTTAAATAGCCACTTAAGAGCTAAAATGTGCTGTCCACTTATGTGGACACTCAGGCTCTAGGAGGTTATGGCTTCTTTAAAGTAAACCAAATAAAAATAATAATAAAAATGTCAAGTTTTATTGCTTTTTTTATGCCTATTTCTGAATATGTGAAACTTTGAATATGTATTATTTCACAACAAGAGCCTTCTTTTAACCCAATTGCAACTGAAATATGTTACTGGAAAATGTATATTGTCCCTCTTCATAAAGCTTCCATAAAGTAGACCAAACAACAACAATATAAAAACACCAATGTGCATTTAAAAAATATATAAAATAAATTGTAGATGATATTTAAAAAAAAAATACTATACTATAAAATAATAATTACCTATTAATTGTATTTTATTAACAAATTTGCTTGTCTCAACTCTAAACACAACCATCGCAGCAATGTAAAAACAGTAATTATACCAAATACTGTTCATATAATTACTAAAATACTCATGATTTTATTTTATTAAAGTCTACGCTTCTCAACCTTAAACCCAACCATCACAGTAATGTAAAAACAGTAATTATAAATGTTATTCATATATTTATTAAACCTTAAATCTACCCCTTGCAAAAAAATTATGCGCTATTGACGAAAGTATCCACAGCTGTATTCCATCTAGACTTTACCTGTAATGGACGGAGGGTTCGAAACGGTTAGATATATTTCAAGATTTTAATTGACAAAAAAATTTGAGTACAAATTAAAATAGCATAATTAAGGAAATTGTTGAAGAATGAACCGAGAGGAAGCTTGTATATCTATGCGTTCTCTATGTAAGCATGAGCCGACAGCGCCCTCTTGTGTTGTTACTGCGCTTCACCTTCAGCTTCTGCTCTTTTTTTTTTTTTTTTTTTTTCAGAACCGCATGCATGAAAGCATGAAGCTGTTCGACTCCATCTGTAACAACAAGTGGTTCACCGAGACCTCCATCATCCTCTTCCTCAACAAGAAAGATCTGTTCGAGGAGAAGATCACGCGCAGCCCACTCACCATCTGCTTTCCAGAATATTCAGGTCTTTCACTTCACTTCAAAAATCTATAATATAATCAGTGAAGTCATAATCAACAATATTCCACAATTGCTGTCCATGAGAGCTTAATTTAGACTTGGAACTATTATCTGATCTGGAATCATTTAGAATGCCGGACATTCTGTAGCACAACTAAAATGAAATATTTAATATAATAATAACAACAGTTTTGAACAATAATCCTAATAATCAATTCAGGTCCCTTATGACCAAGAACAGAATACAAAAAGCTATGCATAGTTTTAGATAAAAGAATCATTCAAAACTATTAATAAGTAAGTAAGTAAGTAAATAAATACAATTTAAAAATGTATAGAATTAGTATAATATAATGTTTATTTATTTTTGTTAAATGATCTGAAAGTTGTATGTGATTATATTGTTTAAAAACTTTTCTAAGTAATATTTTAGGTTGTTTTGGTTTTTGAACACTCAATATTTATACATTTACCCCATGTGCAGTGTTCAGATTTACTACCCTTTTGTTATGTTCGGGATAAAAAATCCACTGAATTAAACTGCTGTAAAAATGCATCAGATTCATATTTTTTTCAACTTGTTTTTTCATAAATCCGTTAATTAATCTCAGTCCAAAGTAAAACTACTAAATGTTTGTAAAAATTACAGTATTTTAACTCTTTAATTGCCAAATTCACAAATGATGCCACTGATTTGGTGAAAAAAAACACACAAAATGATGGATTTTCAATATAAAAAGTAATTGTGTACTGGATTTTTTTTCTTTTGTGAAAGTCTTGGACATGTGAACGATTAGTAACAACATTGTCTTTTTTTGCATTGTTAGATTTTCATTTGATCTCCCTAATTTACTGTTGGTGGCAGTTTTTGACCCATTGATTTCCATTATAATCACATTTGATGGTGCATAAATACACTGACAGCATATTTTGATTTTCTCAGACGCATCGAGGTAAGTGCGTAAAGGTCACTCTCACACACTCACAGACACTTTAATTTGCTGTTGTTTAATTATACTCCATATAAAATCCAGAAACTAAGCTTTTTTTGCACAGGCCTATCTAAAGGGTTAATGGTGTCAATCTGATGATCAACAGTAAAAATTCCACATTTGACCTCTTCCCAACAAGGAAAACCACCAACAACAAAAAAATGCATGATTATATGGTGTCATAGTTTTGTAATCAGAAAAATCTGGTTATAATGGAAGTCAATGTGGCAAAAACAACAACCAACAGTCAATTAGGGAAACAAAGCATCAAAGGCAATATTGTTTCACATGTCCAAGACTTGGAGGTAAAAAAAAAAATCAGTTCACAATTACTTTTTATATTGATAATACGTCATTTTGTGTGTGTTTTTTTTTCGACCAAATCTGTGACATGATTTATGAATTGGGAAATTCAAGAGTAAAAATTTTGTAATTTTCTAAACAATTGAGTAGTTTTGATCTGGACTGTGGTTGATTAACAGATTTATGCAAAAAAAACCAAAAAAAAAAACCAAACAAACATAAATTGTCCTTAGTGTGTGTGAATAGAATGTCCTTAGTGTGTGTGAATGAAGAAAAAGATCGACTTTTTCTGTGTTTCAGCTAGCAGAATGGTTTTGATGACAAATATATAAAAATTATATATAATATATATATAATATAATATATATATATATATATATATATATATATGTCATCAAAACCATTCTGCTAGCTGAAACACAGAAAAGGTTATGGCCAAATTAAGACTCAGAATCACCCCAGAGTGGATGAAAACATCCCTAACAGCACATAAGGGTTAAAGGACTTTACTTTCATTAATACCAGTCAGGCTAACATTGATCATTTTCACAATATATTTACATATATATTTTATTCAAATGCAATTCTAATTACATTTTTTTATGTATTTTAATATTTATATATTGTCAATTTATCTGAATTGTTTAAGGGTTTTATAAATGAAGTTTAAATGAATTTAAAATTTTTTTATGAATACATAAATGGGTAAATGTAGTATTATTATTTGGTAAAAATATGAAGTTTTTACTACTTGAAGTTTTAAAATATGTTTTTACTATTTTACAATTTAATAGATCTAGAATGTGAAAATAGTATACACATTTTAGACAGTCCCTCTATTATTTTACAGGGATAATTTTTCTTTATATTTATACCCTAAAACAGAGGTGACCAACCCTGTTCCTGGAGATTGACCTTCCTGCAGATTTCAGTTGCAACCCATATCAAACACACCTGCCTGTAATTATCAAGTGCTGTTCAGGTCCTAATTAATTGACTCAGGTGTGTTTGATCAGGGTTGGAGCTGAACTTTGCAGGAAGGTCGATCTCCAGGAGCAGGGTTAAGCACCACTGCCCTAAAATGACTGATTTTGTGACTGCTTTTCTCAAAGTTTATGACCTTATTTACCACAAAATCTTATAAATTTTATTATATCTTTTTTAAACTCATAAACCACTGGATTCGGAAAATGCTGGAGGGTATGGGAGTTAGAATCTCTAAAACTGCACTGATCACAAGACGCACAAGTTCAAATCGATTTTCTGTATTTTGTTGATGCAGGAGCCAATAAATACGACGAGGCTGCCAGTTACATCCAGACCAAGTTCGAGGATCTCAACAAGAAAAAGGACACCAAGGAGATTTACACCCACTTCACCTGTGCTACTGACACTAAGAACGTGCAGTTTGTGTTTGACGCCGTTACTGACGTCATTATCAAGAACAACCTGAAGGACTGTGGCCTCTTTTAATGACAGCAGCCCCGGAGAATCATGAGGTCAGAACAACAACACACACACATTTATGTACCCCAGAGTGTGTCAGATTAAATATATATACAGTTCAAGTTAGAATTATTAGCCCTCCTGAGTTATTTGCCCTACTATAGATGTTTTCCCGAATTTCTGTTTAACTGAGAGCAGATTTTTTTCAACACATTTCTAATCATAATAGTTTTAATAACTCATTTCTAATGACGGATTTATTTGATCTTTGCCATGATGACAGTCAATAATATTTGACTAGATATTTTTCAAGATACTAGAATTCAGCTTAAAGTGACATTTAAAGGCTTAACTAGGTTAATTAGGCAATTTAGAGTAATTAGGCAAGTCATTGTGTAATGATGGTTTGTTCTGTAGACTACTGAAAACAAATATTGCTTATGGGGGTTAATTATATTAAAATGGTTTTAAAAATAGCTTTTATTCTAGTCGAAATAAAACAAATAAGACTTTCTTCAGAAGAAAAAAAATTGTAGGAAATACTGTGAAAAAATCATTATATCTGTCCCAAAACACACCAGAAACCAATAAAATGACTGGTTTTAATAATAAAAAGCCAGTTTTGCAGCGGAAACTATTAGACCTTCGATTACATTTAAGCAGTTTCAAGCACTTTATCCAAAATCAAAGCAGTTTTCAAACCGTAAAAGCAGATTATTATTCAAATGAAAGCATTTTCAAGGATTTCCAGCTCTCATATGAACACCCAGTGAATTATTGTTTTGTCTAGATAGCAAGGCGGCACACTACTGTGTGTTTGGACTTGACAAACCACCTGTAAAAAACACACACTTTCATCTCTCTGACATTTTAACCCAGTGGTTCCCAAAATGGGGGTCGCAGGACAATGACAGGGGGTCGCTTAGTGATTTCAAAAGTCAAATAAATTTTATTAAACTATTATTATTACCATATTTTAACCATAACCCACAATTTGATGTAGTTTTATATAATATAATGCATAAATAAGACACAATTTTCATTTATTAATTAATTTGTTTTTATTTATTTATATTGTATTTATTAAAATAGTATTAATATTTTATTTTAAATAAACTAATTAATAATAATAAATAAAATTCATTTTATATATTATTTATTAATAATAAAAATTAATATTAATTAAAATATAAATATAGGGGTGACATGGTGGCTTAGTGGTTAGCACTGTCGCCTCACAGCAAGAAAGTCGCTGGTTCGAGTCCCGGCTGGGTCAGTTGGCATTTCTGTGTGGAGTTTGCTTGTTCTCCTCGTGTTTGCGTGGGTTTACTCCGGGTGCTCCAGTTTCTGCCACAATATAAACACAAGGTGAATTAAGTAAGCTAAATTCGCCGTAGTGTATGGATGTTTTCCAGTACTGGGTTGCAGCTGGCAGGTCATCCACTGTGTAAAACATGCTGCATAAGTTGGCGGTTCATTCTGCTGTGGCGCCCCCTGATGAACGACTAAATCAAAGGAAAATGAATGAAACTATGAATAACCTCATTGTGTTGTTGTGTTTTCTCCTCAGGATGGTGTCTATTCATTTGATGGACCTGGTCAGTGGGTTAGACTGCTAGACTGCCTTCAAACACCTATCAGAATCGTAATGTGTTTTTTTAATTTTTATTTTTTTTATTGTGACAACCCGAAATGGACGAGTCGTGAACAAGGAAAAGAGAAACTTCACCCAGTTCCAGCACACCATCCTCCTTTCCTGAATCTTGTTTTTAAATCAGTCTCAGTGTGTACATATTTAATTTTCAGCCCAGCGATGAGTGGAGAGTCGGGATTATTCTTTTTTTTTTTCTTTGTTTGTTTCTATTGAGCTTTTAGGGCATGTTTTTTGACAGCGGGGTCGGGCGCACACTTCTTTTATGGATGTGCTAATTTTATCGAACTCAAAATGCTTCTTTTGTAAAGTAAATGTGAGCACAGAAAGAAAACGAGACATCTCTTTTTCTTTTTTGTAAAACATCAGCACCGAATCCTCATCCCACACTCAATCTGTATATTGTTGCATGACGGACCATCCGAACCTGCTCGAAAAAGCTCCAAAACACACAGCGTGACGTCCCTTTACACTCTCTATAGCGTCATCTCTGTCCACTAACGTGTAAATATATATTGTGTCCGCCCTCACATTTCCCTGTCCTCATTGCTGTACACCATCTTCCTTTGGCGCGATGTCTGTGCCTTGTTTTCACTGTCTGTAGATCATAGGGCTGTTTTTATTCACTCTATCAAATGGAAAGTGTACAAGTGTTGAGCACATTTTAAGAGCTAAATAATAATAATAATAATAAAACTAGACTACAGTCTTTGGGTTATTATCTGAATTCCTTACTAATTATTTCATTGGAAATAAAAGTTGATATGTAAGATAGACCTGTGCTCTTTGTGTCTTTTATATCATGTGTCTCTTTTAACATTTTTTGGTGATTTGTGTGTCATTTTGTGGGACATTCTACCAGAAATGTACATTTTCACCAATAAAAAATGTGACAGGGCCTGTCCTTTAGGCTTCTTGTCCTCAAAAAATAAAAAATAAAATAAAAAACATACAAAACAAGCATCAAGTCATACAATTTAATAATAGAAGGCATCCTTAATCACGCTTTCAGCTTCTCTCCTCCGTCAAAATATGTCACTTCCTCTGAGTCATAGCCTTAAAGGTGTATTGCACGCATTTTATGTTAAATGTAATGCAAATGTGACAGGATTGACAGAAGCATGGGGACAATTGTGAATTTATTTGTATTATATATTTGTAGTATTTATTTGTAGTATGTAGAATGAATGAAAACAGCTTAAACTTGCTGTTTCTGAAGTTTTTTTCTTCTAAAAAACAGTTTTTAGCATAACAAAACTATTAAAGCTGTAGGTTCATTTGGGCTGAGGACAAAGACAATCACAGGGTTTGTACATTTGTAAAGTGTTTTAATAAAGAAAAAAAGTCTGAGAACCAAACAAATGACATTCCTTTACAGAACAACTCACAGAAATCAGTCCATGTTAGATTTTTTTTTTTTTGTGATTAAATACTTTATATACACTGTATTTATGTTTTTATTTCAGGGACAGACCATGTACGTTTCTGGTAGAATGCCTCATGCTGTTGTATTCAAGTTCTTTATTGCCTGCAGTGCTGTTTTTGACCGCGTGGTGGCGTAAGAGAGACCAAGAAGGACTGATCCAGCCAAACTAATTCATAAGAGAATGATAGAGACATTTAATTACCTACAAGATAAAAAGCTAAAACTACAATTGGGAGAATATTAGAATTTTTTTATATATTAGACCAAAATGATCTTTGGGAAAGTACTGTAGTCTTACCATGGTTCAGTGGTGACTAATCTTGATGTCTAGTTAATTTCATGTTTGTAGTTCATAGCTTATTAATAGTTATAATAGTTACTTATAAATAAATAAATAAAACATTACAGCATGTTTTTTTTTCTTTTTTTCTCAATTTGTTGGGAAAACGTACATTTTTGTAGAAAAAAAAACCTTACAAAAAATTTAATGTTCATAAGTTATTGATTTAATTGTTCTCTCTTTCTCTCTCTCTCTCTCTCTCCCCCCCTCTCTCTCTCCCTCCCTCTCTCCCTCTCTATTTCTCTCTCTCTGTGTAAGTGAAATGTTATTGCACCATAAAATAACTGTTCAAAAGTAGTTTATAATTTAATTTAATAGTTTATTCAGTGATTTTAAAGATGAATTTACAGCTTCAGTACTTCTGTCTTCAGTCACATGATCCTTCAGAAATCACTCTAATATTAATTATTATTATTATTATTTGAGGATGTTATTAATAAAAGCTTGCAAAAACTACATACAAGTAATAAATATTTAATAAATAAATATGTAACCATTTTTGTAAAAAAAGATATATATTTTTTGTAACATTTAATAAATGCTGCCTAATATAATGCACACTTTACAATAAGCTACATAAGCATCTGATTTTTTTTTTTGACATATTATAGAATATCATAATATAAATTATTTAATGTCAATAGTCTTGATAATTGTAACACATTTGTCAAAGGCTCCATTTGTTATTGTCATTTTTGTTAATGCATTCTGAATTAATCAGTCCTGCAGATCTCAGGTGTGAAGTGGTTGTATTATTTACTCACGTTTCATTTCTCGCTTCATGATTGGATGACACAATGACGCGCGTCTCTGATTGGTTGAGATGGTGCTGGCAGGAAACTGACGGCACGCTCAAAAGCACTCAGCAGCACCGCTCTCTGCAAAGCAAACTCATACAGACTGATAACAGGACACGCGGCTATTAGCGCTGTCCTTGACTGATTTATACATCTGGGAAATATTATTTTGGGTACAATTTGGTAAGTGTCTCGAACGCTCTTAGGTCGTGATAGACTCAATTTTGCATTATTTGAAAAAAATATTAATGGCGGACGTATCTTTATTTTCAGGGAAAAGTAAAAAATATTTCAAGGTGGACTAACAGCGGAAAATAAACAAACATGGTGAGTGTTCTGCTTTTACTTGCTTGCTTGACTTTATTTGGACACGTATAAGTCTTTAGAGATGATTATTCAAATTTGTAGCAGTTGTGTATATACTAGGGAAAAAACACACAACGTGTGTACTCTAGCTTTTATATAAAGCAAAAACAAACCAAAAAACATCTCTTTTTTTGTGTAGAAAACTGGGTACTCTAGCTTTATATAAAGTATATAAAGCAAAAATGACTTTAATAGTAGTAAAGAAAAAGAGACATCTCTATTTTTGTAGAGAAAGTTGAACTCTAGCTTTATATACAGTATATAAAGCAAATAGATGACTTTTTAATAGTAGTAAAGAAGACGAGACATCTCTATTTTTGCTAAATAAAAACGTGTCCTCTAGCTTATATGCAGTATATAAAGCAAAAAAATTACTTTAATAGTAGTAAAGAAGATGAGACATTTACTTTTTTGTAGAAAAATGTGTACTCTAGCTTTATATACAGTATAAAAAGCAAAAAAAAAAAGACTTAAATTGTAGTAACAGTAGTAGTAGTAAATGACTAAACGTCTGATTTGCTTTAAAGATAGTTTGCTGCAGCTTTTACAAAGATTTACTGTAGTAACAACTACACAAAAAGACGATTGTTCAAATTGCACATTTAAAATAAGCTGAAACAAAACAATTAAGTGGTCCAAAACAAACTCAATAATGGTGTTATGTTCAATCAACTTAAAATTGTAAATCTATTAAGTTAACTTAATTCCTCCATAGAGGATTTTTACAGTGTAAACATGGTGTTGTGGTAACATGAAATTGTATTACAAATAAAAACAAATGCTCAGAGTAGATCCTATTTTGCGATTTTATTATTGTTTGAACAACCATGGAAAAACAACAACATTATTATTATTATTATTATTATTATTAATATACAATTGTTATTTTCTCAGCACTTCCTCTAAACTGTCAGTTGAATTCAAATTGAATTCCTTTGTTCAGACGCTGCATTAATATTCAGTACTAACTCCAGTATTAATGTGGCATTGTCTGGTGCATAATGTGCCTCCCTCAGGCATAATAAACTGTCTTCTACTGTAATCTGGGTAGTGAAATGAAATGTAGGTTTTCAGCAGTGATGAAGGTTAACCACCACCCAACTTCTATGCATTTTTCATGGCCTCTGGCAACCGCTGGTTCTATACACACACACACAGAGCCAAATGGCTAAGATCTCACAGCTGTGATAACAGCATTGGTCCTATAGCTCTCCTCAAACCTGTCTGCAGTTTAAGAGCTGCTTCACGTAGATGGGAGTTTTTCAAAAGCATTCCTGTAAAATTCCGAATGCTTACAGCTATGGCAGAGATGGAAGTGAAAGTAAAGTAAATGATCTGAGAGCAGGGAATGGTATCGCTGGAAAACAGGGGCTTTCTATGGTTGAAAGGTGTGGACCCTGAACTGATTGAAATCTCTTGATCTGGCCAGGCCTGGACGAGGGGAGTCTTTTGATGTTGATTTAAAGAACTAAGGATGGAATTCTGTGAGTCAAGACATTCTGGAGGATTTAAAGCAGAGATGTACTTTTAAAAACCATGTTGTTAACTAACTTAGTGCTTTGTTTTAATTTAATTATTACTTAATATGCATTTACACTAAAAAATTGGTACAAAGGCTGATATTTAAAAAAAAAAGTACTTTAAAAGGTTCACATTGGCATTTAGACACTTTTTTTGAGACTTTGCTGCTTTTTACGTATTAATGACTATTCAATGTGCAAACAAGTACCTATTATTATTATTATTATTATTAATCAATTAATTTATATATATTTATGTATTTCATTTTTTTGTTACATTTTGTTGAAGTACTACTTTGTTGATTTATAACTTTAATCTTGAGACCTATTTTAAAGAAATCTAATGAAACTGACAAAATGCCTGAAGGAAAACTTTAAAAATAAATCTTAAATCAAACTGAAAATCTTTAAAAAGTGACTATTTTTTGTGTAAATATATTTAGAAAACATTTGCAAAACTACAAAAAAAATTATTCAATTAAAAACAAATTTAATAAAATCAAATTCCTAAGTGTTCTTTCTGATCTGCTTTTAATTGGTGTTTATTATTATTTTATTTTGATGTAGTTTTGCATTACTGACTTGGTTATCACTTTATTTTGATGGTCCCTTTAACACATTTTGTTGAGTTTAAGTTAAATTGCATCTATATGCCAACTAGTTAACACTAGATTACAAGTAGACTGCGTGGATTTGCCATGAACTGACCACCAATGTCCAGCCATTACTGAAGTGCCCCCACCAATAATTGAATCGCCTTCAAAATAAAATAATGCTCCATCAACCCTTAGTTACTCAGACATGCAGAAAGGGTTAAATCAAAACCTACTGCCAGATTGCAGTAAAATCATGTCAATTGACTTTTGCAGCATGTGACGTGTTTCATTAATTGTCGTTTGTGTTAAGTGTTTTAAAGCCTTTATTCATGTTTTTAAAAGCACAAGAGAATTTGTGCTGATCTATGCATGCGCTATAGGGATGTATGTCCCCAACAATGTCAAGAGCAAATCTACACCCTTGACTGTTATGGTTAGTGTAAGTTGACATTTAATTCAATTCAGCTTTATTTGTATAGCGCTTTTACAATGTAGATTGTGTCAAAGCAGCTTCACATAAATGGTCATAGTAACTGGAACAGTGTGGTTCAGGTTTTAGTGTTTAAGTTCAGCTCAGTTCAGTTTAGCTCAGTTCAGTGTGATTTAATGTATTTGCTAAGTTTCTTATAGTCCGTTAAATGTCTGTTGAAGGAGCAGTATCAGCAGATATTAAGCAGACAGTGTACTAATACTCAAATGAGATTTAATTGGCATGTAGTTGCAATGCAA